AAAAAAAAAAAGACTAGTTGTAGGATGAAACAGCGAGAAGAGTTGTAGGGAGGGAACAGCGAGTTAACGGGAAATTGAACACGGACAGACGTGGTGCACGAGTAATAGACAGAACAAATAAAAAGAAAGAAAGAAAGAAAAAATTGAAGAAGAAGAAGAAGAAGAAGAAGAAGAAAAGACCAAAAGAAAGAAACAACAGAAAATGTAAAAAAGATATGCTTGGTAAAATGGTTTGTTCAAGTACCTCAGCGAGCGAGGTCACGCCGGCTAGAGCTGACTCTCTGTTCGTTCGGTTCGTTCAGGAGGAGACGTAACACGATTGGTAGTAGTAGTAGTAGTGGTAGTAGTAGTGGTAGTAGCGGTAGTAGTAGTAGTGGTAGACGATAGCGGTAGTAGTCGATAGTAGCTGACAGTAGTGGTAGATAGCTGATTCGGTACTGGTAGTGGTAGTAACGTGTACGTATACGCGGCGTAGAGCGCTGGGTCGGCGATCGGCTTTCTCTAACTTGACGGCAGTAAGCAACACGAGAAACAATGTTACACACTTCAAGATCACATATGAAAAGAAAGAATGAATTTTTTTTTTTTTTTTTGTTTGATTCGTTGATTTTTATTTTTTTTTTTTTTTTTTTTTTCATAAGGGACTGGAGGGATTTACACATGTCACCTGCACCGTAAAACCACTGTGACTTTGACCCATTTCTTTTTTTATATTTTTCTCTATTCGACCTTGGTGACAAGGTCTTTTTCCCTCTCTTTTCTTTCATGCTTCACTTTCTCTTACTTCGGAGTCTTACGTTCTTTTTTTTTTTTTTTTTTTTAAAGCGAGAACTTTCGTGGATGTAGAGGGGTGGATTTCACTCTTTTCTCTCATGTCTTTTTCTTTTTTTATTTTTCTTTTCTGCGCATCGGGGCGAAAGGCGCGATCCTGTTATATGCATATTCAATACATACATCCGTGTATATTAATCGGTACAGTTTTTAATACACGTTTGGAACTATGATTTCTGGTGTACACGATCGTACGTACGTGTACTCACGAAGGTATCCGACTTGTCATAAAAGTATAAAAAAAAGAAGAACTTTTACGTGCGACGTTTTGTTTTCACTATTACACGAAACATTTTGTAATTTCATTAATTATTTCTTTGTAATTTCACTGTAATAATAGATATGATTGATTATGTTGGTAAACTTTGAAACCTAAGAAATTACACATAAGCTGCAAGTTATTGTACAAAATATCAATACACAACGTGAGTAGTTCTATGATTACCGTTAGACATAGTTCCACTGAATATTAATAAATATTAATAATTGGCTGTTTAAATAATTTCGTAAAAAAAAAAATATATATATATATTTGTATTAAATATGTCGTAATTCCTATATACATTTCCGAATTCCTTTCAAACTTTTTCAAGATAATCTCAATCGTGCCAATGAAATTTCAAAATGTTTTACACAATGTACATTACATACAGGTAAAAGGTACGGACACTTTCATATTTCGTTTTGGTAGTTGCGTGTATATAGAGTATAAGAAATATACGAAAAAAAAAGCAGCACGACGCGACGCAACGCGTGCTATAATTTCGATGAGATTCTTCATCGTTTCCCCAAGACCGGTGAAGAAGCGGAAGCGGAAGAACCGGCCGGGAGTTTTCGAGGGCCAAAAACGGCGAAAGGACGTTGACGTGGGGAAGGTTCGCCGAGGGACAAAAGATCGTTCTCTCCTGGCTCGTTTTTCGATCGTTTCGCCTCGACCCCTCTCTCTTTCTCTCTTTCTCCTTCTTTTTCTCATTCTCCACAATTTTTAATTTCCGTGTCTACGACGCGCCCTCTCTCTCCCGTTTTCTTCATTTTTCCTCTTTCATTTCAATCCGGCTTGTTCTTACCGCGTATCGATTTCGACGGTCGGAGGGGGGGAAAAAACACCAAGCTGCGTGTTACGTGCGCGCGTGTGCTCCACTCTCTTTTTCCTCATGCACACACGCGCCTTCCATCACCCCTCCCTCCTCTCTCTCTCTCTCTCCAGATCCACTTTTCTCGCTTTTCTTTTTCATTTTTTCTCCTTTATTTTTTTTCACTTCCT